TTGCTCGGGGCGGCCGTTATTGCAGCAGTAAGACTCAAAGAAACCAGTTCATAAATATTAAGACGAATTGTAAAAGTGGTGAATTGACACGGAAAGATTCGACCACATCCGTCCAAGAAGGAACACGGTTGGTATATCAATGGCTTCATTTGAACGATATTCAAGAGATCACATAACTTATTTAGCCAATATACGGGAAAACTTTTCGTTCTGTGGGGCAGCGAGGATTCTTGGCCCTCCTATAACCGAAAACGCTCATCTGTGCTCTTAGGTTTCCTTTTAAGGACTTTTATTGGCTTACGCATCGGACTAACGTTGTAGTTGCAAGATCAAAGAAGACTATGTACGCTTGGGAGAGATTTCACAGGTAGAAATAAGATCGTCGGAAATCTCATGACATCGAAAGGTATTAGTATTCCATATGGTATCAAAGCGCTACTCATTTTAGCCTATGTATGAGGAGAATTCTGCTCTTTAGTCGTTTCCATTTTTTTGCTTTACATACCGTTTTTTTCTTTTAAACGCTGTTTTGGCATTGGCTCACGCAAAAGTTCTTATTAGGCGCCGCGAAGCAACCGGGCATTGGTTAGTTATGTATAATTTTTAGCAAATATTCTAAAAAAATTACTTTTGGTGCAAATATGATGAACATGATATAATTTATTTACATCGCGTTTCTTTCTTGGACGCCAAAGTATGATTCTTTATAAACGCAATGAGGCCCAGTTTATCTAAAATTTAAAAACAAATGTAGAAGGTAGAGAACCTAAGTGAATATACATACAAAAGTTTCTATACAAAGTTATGATTTCATGTCCATAAATATATATGTATGTACATACATATGTATGTAGCAGTTCAAGCATTTACCGAAATTTTAGTTCGTACATTAGCATGAACACCTTTTGTATCTATTTTTACTAACAAAATTGATAGATGCATTTATTTGCTTCGTCAATTGAAAATTAGGATATGGCCGTTTGTGTGTACCGTTTCGTGAAGACCCTTAATGGTTTATTTTATACTAAGTTTTAATTACAGCAGCAGTTATAATCAGTTGTGGGTTATAAATATTTAATTGGTCATAGTTTGCCCTTATCTGCTTTATTGTGTTTCAGCCATTGGGGAGAGTTGGGGTTTACTAATATTAGGGTGGTCTTGCTTTTTTGTAAGTACGATAGTATTTATATAACCAATGAACATTAAATCTAAAGGCATTTAGTTCAGTCACCTGTATCTAGCTCGGTTACTTCGCCACACAATTATTCTATTGCATTTACCTTGTTTATATGGCATCAAACGAGATATCGAATCAACTCGTATCAGTGTAGCGCCCGCTTGGAATGCAAGTGTTTATATGTTTATATACAACAAAAGAAATGAGTCGATCGAACACGCTTTCAAATAGATGTCATCCCCATGAAACCTGATCGCACAGGCTAAAAAGTCAAGTGCGTTCTAATCTGACAGTCAGCCCGTAATTACAGCACTAAAACGACAGTTTATTGCAGTTATGTAAAGCGAGCAGGTGACGCTGGAAATGACCACAGGAAATGCTTTGCTGACCAGATTGCCAGAGAAGGGACAGAAATAGTCATTGTAAATTCTGCTCAGAAAATGCGTATAAATATGTCTTCCAACGAGTACATAAAAACTTATACTGAAGACAAATCATTGCGAAAACGGTTCGTTCCCCAACCAAAATTACAACGGCATAACAGGAATCCGTTTCAAATTACATTATCTTGAAAAATTTCGAGGAAAACATATCCAATCCGTTAATACATCTTCACCGCTTCTCTTTAAGTTTGGTCTTTTCATGTTTATCACCAAGCCTCGGATTTCGTTGAAATGTATCTTCTTCTAGAATCCTAGTATGCTTTCTGTGTATAAAATTTCATCTTCTCTTCTTGATTGGCGCTGTATACGCCTAAGCGATTCTGACCGAGTTCTCCGCATTGAAAACTGACGTCAATTGGGAATGCTAAGTGAAGTCAAGTCCTTCTTCACCTGGTTTTCCATTGCACCGGAGGGCAGTCACTCCTTCTGCTCACGACCCGCATTGCATGCCGTGTGTCCTAAACATAAATCCTCTACGAACTGATTACTTCTCAATCCAAGAGAGTTCAGCACCCATTAATCAGCGTGTCAACTTTCTTGCAAAGTACACAGAACTAAAATGGCTCCTCAGCTGTCCGGGAAAGTGGTGACGCTCTCGCCTTGTTAATGGGGTAAACTAGTGAAGTACTAGTCTTTACACGCGACAGACAGCCTTCGGCTATAGCAAAACTTCTGTTTGGAAAACACTTGCAAAATCACCTGCCTGCACCATTTTCGCATTCCATTTTGAAGCCATCGGTATACATATGGTGTGTCAAGGCGGAGGTATCAAAATCTCTGCCCCAGTCAGACCCTAAATAGCTTATGAAATTCTATTCCAGGTCGCATATAAGCAGTGTCTAGTCATATCTTGAACGAAAATGGAGAAATTATGCTACTATGCCCACTCAACTATAACAAATAAACTTGTAATAACATTGAGGCCTTTCGTATGGCAAGTTTTCAATGGGGTAGAAGTGCCGGCTCTATGACCTCTGCCTAATTTTAAATCACTATACTAGTTACATAAAGCTGTCGACCACACCAAGCAACTGTAATATAAATCGAAGAAATTTAAAAAGTTTTCAGGTCATTCAGCTTTTTGTTAATTTTTGATGTTTAGTTAATTTTTAGGCTTTCAGCTCGTATTTCGGGTCATTTGTTTGACCCATTTTAGTTATTGGTTTCCCCTAAGCCATTCTGCAATACTTTCAAGAAGTTTCAATTCTCTTTAAAGCAAATGCATGTATAGAATTGACAACAATAACCATGCTGTCAAGTTTAAATAGCGCCAAATCAGCTGCAATATTAAAATCCATTCCAACTTTTGAATCAACGCCAGTCTTTATAAATTGCTCTTGTGACATGAAACAAAAAGCCGTAAAAAAACGCATTTTTTAGCAGCGGGAATTCTTAGGTACACATTGTAAGTTATACTATAATTCCACGGGGTAAAAAGTCAGAGTAGAAAGTTCGAAATTTTTATGAAGTTTTGTTGAATTTTTCTAAATATTTAAATGAAAAGTTTTTATTGAAATAACTAAACAAATTAAATGAATATATTTTTTTTATTGAAAAAACTATAAAAATTATTGGTAGATTGTCTCCATATTTGGTAGAAGTTTTTAATGTGTATGGTAGTCTTTTTTTGTGTAAGTGGCAACCCTGGTCAACACAGATGACTCGCGAGTCAGACGCACCGTCTGTGGCGCTTATAAATGAGGCCGTGAGAGCTGATGTGGCCTAACCTATTTCTTTTGTTTTTGTACTTAACTTCTTAAAATAATTTCAAATGTAATAAGTAGGGCTCGGAATCGCATGCAAATGCATGTTTTTATTGGGCATCTTCAAATGGAAATGGTTAAATTATCTTTACGAATCATTAAAATGCCTTCAAAATGGCATTCAATCGTTAATGGATATTTTTGCATATTTCGCAGTAAATGCATGATTTTGCATATTTTGCAAAAACTGCCTGTTAAGTTAAGTATATTTTTGCATTTTTTTGATCTACACCTATTGAATTTAATCCACTCTCTTCAGCCTCTGTTAGATCTCAACTAGTGGAGAACTGTAGGAGAGAGCTGGCCTATATCAGGTGGAAGGGTACAGGATCGTACAGGGTTACCCGGCAGTTAAGGGTGTCCTAAGACCCACTTAAAACCAAAGCTCTCTTAGAAATGAGCAAAGAAGATATCTACAAGCTTACTGCAGTATGCACAGGGTACCGGCCCGTTGGGGTGCATGCCGAAAGCATTAGATTGGTCTTGAATAGGTTATGTCACAGTTGGTCGCTCAAAAGAGACAATCGAACAATTCCTGTGCGATTGTCCGAGGACGAGGCTTAAGATACTGGGCAAGTCAGTATGACGTACTGAATGGGTGATAATCAACATAAACCAACCAAACATTCATCTGAACCACAATAACTGTCAATGTTCCAATTTACACAAGATTGTAACTAATTTTATACATAAATAAGTATTGTATTTTGAATTGTTTTCGTTATTTTCTTGTTAAAATACATTTATTTTTTATTTTTGTACTGGCAATTAAATATATGGAAAATATTTTTAACTGCATATTTTACTGTTTATAACGCATATGTTCGATTTTTTAGTGCATGATATTCCGAGCCTTAGTGATTCGCCTTAAAATTAAGGTTGCTTATTTCTTAAGTTGATGGAAGCTACGTAGGTCTGTGCCTTAAAATGAAGGAATAAGCGATTTGCATTTTAAAATGTATACCATTTTTGGTATTAGGTCACTTCTGCTCTCATGGCCTCAACTAGCTTGGAAGAAAATAAAATAAATATTCCTGTATATGTTTGTGAGCCACCCTCATGTATTATATAGTACATCTAGTATGTATGTATCCAACTGTTTCAGTCTCTTTTATAAAATATAAATTATTTATATGTTCGAAAATCGAGGCACATAATCTCATTACAAATATACATATGTATGTATGTACACGCCCACTGCAAAATCGAATCTATATCCGTTCGAATACGTCCCACTTCTATCACCTTCGACGTGTGAAATTTGTGTGTAAATACATATGTACATGTCTATTCATGTATATTTGTCTTGTGTGAAATTTACAACGCTGGAAACTTTTGTTCGTGCTTTTAATCGATGCAATTGCTTGCAGTATAGTCAGAATAGTACTATAAGTACAAAGAAGTAATAAAGAACAACAAATAAACTGAAATGAAAAAATTAATTGCTTTTTATTAGCCTTTTGTATGCAGGGCAATACATGTAATTTTACGTACCTATGTAAATTTACCTACATATAACTATCTGTTTTGTTTTTTTTAAGAAGTATTTTTCTCTTAATTGATGGTGATTTTCTCCTCATCATAATTCAATGATCAATTGTTGAGAGTGTTAAATTGCTATCACAAGGCGGCCGGCAAGCGACACGAGATCTTTAACTGATATAAAAGTACCGCAGCGTTGTGAGAAAAATTCAAAAAGCGAGTTGTGATCGGCAAATCGAGTGGTTAGATCAGCGCGTTGTTAAAAACTTTAAATTTCGAATCGCAAAAATGAAGTATTTCGTGGTGTTCCTGTTCATCTGTGGCTTGGCCACTTCATACGCTCAAGTACGTAGGGAGAAATAAAATAAATTTAAATGACGAGTTTGTGCCTTAAGTCTTTTGATTGAAGTGAGAATTAAACAGACAATTAAGGAGTCATAAAAAGTTAGAATACGACAAAATTTAGCACAGAACTTGTGTTTTAAAACTTTTGATGTTCATACCTAGTGTGTGAATGATTTTTCTAAAAGATACTTTGAGGAAGCCACAAAAAAGGTTTCCACAAAGCCAACTGCCGTAATAATAATAGAATAAGCTAGACCCATCAACCATTTAGTTTAAAAATTTGTAAAATTTTTGATCGTTAAATTCATGAATAAATTTCAATTGATTGCTTTTAGCTGGAAGAAGTCGTAAAAAAGGCTCAGAAAATAGCTGGTGACTGTAAAGAGGAAGTTGGTGCCACTGATGGTAAGCTGTGCATTAAAAAATGCAGTAAACCAACTATGAAAAATATGTTTTTTTTTTGGTTTTCATAAATTCACAGCGGATGTTGAAGCAATGTTCAAACATGAACCAGCCGGAAATGACAAAGCCAAATGCCTTAACGCTTGTGTTTTGAAAAATTTTGGTTTTGTAAGTTTATTATCCCTTTGATACAGTGCGAAAATACGCAAGACTACTAATATCAGCAGAAAAGAAGTAATCACATACTATATGCATATATTTTGTTCTAATTTCAATAGTTGGATGCTGATAATAAACTGGTTAAGGATGTGGGTGTAGATTTTCTAAAGAGTATCTCCGGTGGCGATGCCGCCTATGAAAAGCTGGGCACTGAGATTTTGGATGCCTGCAAGGATACACCAGCCGGTGGCAACAAGTATGTGGCATATGGTCCTTTTAATGAATATCCTTAGAATTATATACATGCATATGTACATATATGCCCTTTTATTTATTATAATTCTAGCTGCGAAACCAGTGAAGCCCTGCGTACCTGCCTCATTGAAAAATCGCAAGAAAAGGGTTTTAAATTACCATTCTAAGTATGGAAAATTGTTGATGACCCACTGACGAGTGATTTACAGTTGTGATACGAAATTACTTCTGTTTACTAGTATTTACCCTCAACCTCATGTTTTAAAAACGACAAGCAGTAAACTAAGTAACAAATAAATGAAAGAGCATTTTTGAATATGAGAATTGCATAAATTTTTTCAATCAAATTCTCTACTTACAAAAGAGATCAAGGCGAATTTATAGCCCAGTTCGCGTACGCATTATCCAGTAAAATCCAGTACTAATTTTACTGGTTTTTTCTGGATGGCGTTTTCATACGCAAAAAATTGCAAGAAACCAGCAAAAGAGAGAATTGAGAGAGCAAAACTGAAAGCTGATCTTGCAAGTTTCACTGGATTTTTACTGAATAAATTTTTACTAGTAACTATTTGCTAGTAAGAAAAACAGATGATGCCTAATGCAATTCACATTACCAAAATAATTGTTTTTGGTGCTTTTAGTGTTGCAATTGACAAAATAAACCTATTTAAATATATATTAAGATGGGAAATACTATTTTTATTAGAAAATTGCGTCGGAAAATAACAAATTAATCAGCTGTTCATAAAACTTGCAATTTCTTGCTGGTTTCGCGTTTTCGTACTTTCTTGCATATTTCTCTCATTGGGAGTAAAAATTGGCTTACTCTCCCAATTTTGGTTACTGACAATTTACTGGATATTTTTTGTTGGTTTTGTTTTGTTGTTACATGTGTAAAAATTTCTTATGAGTGAGTAAGAAAATGAGAGTGTTGAAACTTTCTTTCGCTCTTCTTCCTTGAGCAAAGAATAGCCGAAATTTGACATTTGTGTACCGAAAGCAAAAACAAAATAGATGTAAGTTTTTTTTGTACTACCGCTACCACTTTGTATGAATTCGCCTTGAAAGAGATGTAAGAATAAGATCTGGAGATTGACTTCAAGTACTTTAGTATTTTGATTGATACACAATAAAAAAAAAACATTAGGTGCATAGTGAAATAATATAAAGTGTGCCATATGTAATGGCATTCTATTTCAGAACTCTTAGTTGACAATTTGGGTTAGGTTAGGTAAGCTGGCCAGACACTGCGTGGTTTCGCAGAGACCATTTAGGTCCATAGTGTTACCAGATAAACTACGACCCCTCTGCACAGCTATCAGTAGCAATGCTGTAGAACACCGCAGTTCTCTTGGCAAACTGGAACACCTTGTTATACCGCACCTTGGCGGCGGCTTCTAGATTAGGTAGAAAACCTGCCCCAAGCAGGCTAACCCGCAGTCTGCTAAGGGCGGGGCGCTCGCAGAAGATATGATGCTCTACTGGCTCCTTTTTCGTTCTGCACCTTCTACAGATATTACCATTGGTCAGAGCCAGTTTAAAGGCATGCGATGCCAGCAGACAATGTCCCGTTGAGGGAAAGGAGGGACTTCGTGCGCTTCATGTTATACGCACATAATCCTGGACACCTTGCATCCTTGCGTTTTGTTCCACGCCTTCTGCGCATTCCGGATCATGGACAGGTCGAGTTCCCGTTTAATCGTTGGGAGGGAAATCGGCACCTCCACAGTGAGAATGGTTTCCGACAAAGCGCCGTCATTACAAGCTTGTGCACCGGAACAAAATACAGATGTAAATTCAGAGCTGCACTGTACTCCGCCAAACTTCCAGAGGAAGTGCTGTGCGATAGTAGCGTATTTATCGCAGCTTGACTGTCCACATAGTAATTCACCTGCTTATTTGCTACATTTGCATGTTCAGTACCTCCGCCGCCCTCCTCATAGCGAATACTTCCGCCTGGAAAATGTTGCAATAGTATAAGACAATTCTTTGTCAACAATTTTGCTTCGATTTGACTTTCATACTAACCCTTTTTGAGTGAGAACTTATGAAGTTTTTTGATTTTAGTAAAAAATTAAAGAAGAAAGCCAAGAAATTGTTGCTGTTTGCGCAAAAACACACATGGAGTTACAGCACTGATGTTTTCAGTCCCGAAGTATGAGGATATAAGTCGAAGTTGGGAGAGGTTTGCAACAAAATCAAGGGTTAATGGCAGAATTGAAAAAGTGAAAATTGCAAACTCAAATACATATTGATTTCAACTGACATACATATACATTAGGGTGGTCCCTAAAAATGAAATGAGCCATTTTTTCAGTCTCGCCCCGTCAATAAGTAATATCACGGTCACAGATATCACATACAAATTTTGGTCCCGATTGGAGTCGGTTAAGGCGTGTCGCACAGGGGCCAAAGTTCAGAATCCTCTATAGAGACTCAACAAATTTAAATCAATTATCAATAATATCACATATAAATTTTGGGTCCAAAGCCAGATGCTCCATGAGGACTCAAACAATTAAAAATATTTTTTTCATTTAATACCCATAATCGCTACCACTAAAGTCGAAGATATCAAATAAAAGTTTTGGTCCCGATTGGAGTCGGTTAAGACGTCTTCATAGGGTAATCTGAACTTTGACTCCTGTGCGACACGCCTTTACCGACTTCAATCGGTGCCAAAGTTATATGTTATATCTACGACTAGTAGCATCGGCGGGGGTTTGAGGGGTTGAGGTTTAAGAAATCTGATGTAAAAATTTGCTTCCTACATTTAAGGACCACTCTAATATACATATATATATATATATATATATATGTGTTCATAACTCAAGTGAATTAGAAAATGGAATTGTAACTATTTTTGTTATGTATTTGGTTTTTTATAAGCAATCGAAACGGAGCAATTTTAGAAAAAACATGAATGCTTTAGAATTAGAAAACTTGGTTACCGATTAATAAATAAATTCTTCTCCTTATTTGGCATTGCAAGCGTTTGTCGGTTTGGGCCGGGACGAAAAACTTGGCCAATTTATGCTTTGCAAATTCGCGCCAGTTTTTCCACCTTTTTGTGAGTGTCTTTGCTTTCCTTGACCATCCGTGGCTGTCGAGCCGAAAGATCTTTTCACTGGAGCAATTTCTGTCCAAATCATTAAAAAGCCCATAAAGTTCTTCATTTCATCTCTTTCGGTACCCGTCCCCCATGCAAAAAGGACCATTAAATCTTGCGTACAATAGTTCTCTCGATAGCACTATCGTCCATGTTTCTGCGTCTTATTAAAGGACGGGTTGGATGAGAGATTTGTAGGGCGTAGTTTTTGTTCGCCGGGAGAGGGCTCTATTTTTAATTGCCTGCCGTGCCCAAAGTAGCACCTGCTGGCAAGATTTATTCTTCGCTCGTTCACCGCTTTAGCTTCTTTTTCTTAGCTGGCAAATGCTGCGCTGATGTCTCTAAGTCTCAGCGGAGCTAAAGTTTGTGCTCAACGTCACTCTACATAGTCGTATTCGTTTTGTAGGAATCCCAAATTTAATAATCAATAATGTCTTTACCAGGCCTGATAAGGTCCAATCAGTTGGTTTGTGAAGGGCCTCAGTCTTTCACGCAGTATCGCTTAAGGACCTTATAAACACTATTTAGAAGGTTTATTCGATATATGGCGGATCTCCCTTCTTGTGGATTGGACAAGGTAAACTGAAATTCCAATCTTCGGGCATGTATTTATCAGGCCGAAATATTATTACTCACTTGAGATTTATTTTGGTGTAGCTCGTAATTAAGTGAAATGCTAAATTTTGTAAAAATAAGTATGCATTCTGATCAATGGTAAATTTGAATCGATGCAAACAGAAAAATGCGGATATAACCGAATTGTTGTAAAATTTAATCGCTATTTACTGGGATCAAACTATTAATCAACATTACTCCGTGAAAGACTAAGAAAAAAGTTAAATAGATTTTTTTTAAGACAAGCTTTTATTAATAATTAATAATAGTAATAATAAATTGGCGCTTACACATATGTTAGTGTTTGGGCGAGCTTCTCCTCCGATTTGTGGCGTGCGCCTTGATGTTGTGTCATACAAAGGGGAGGGACCTACAGTTTTACACCAACTCCGAACGGCGATTGTATTTTGATGAGAAACGGTTTTTCATGGCAAGAAACTGTTTTTTTTTTGCGATGTTGCTTTGACCAGGGCTTGAACCCAGACCTGCAGAGTGGATGCGCGCACTGCTTACCACTACATCACAGCGGCCGCCAAGCTTTTATTAGTGGTGAGTAAAAAGAAGAAAAATCGACCCTAGTGCCACCCAGCGGCTAAATTTTTAGTTAATATATGTTTCAAATATGAACGAAATCGGACCATAAAAAACAGATTTATAAAATACTTGGTCTCCTGTGCCACCTATCGGCCAAATTTTTTGTGGAGTTATTTGTTAACATGTAAGTAATATGCTTTCCAAATATGAACCCACCCTCTGGAACGATAAATACGGGAATTTCAAATAGCTCGACCCCTGTGCCACCTAGCGGATTAATTCATCTTTCGTAATGCATAGTCCTCGGGTTCCGAGCTAAGTTTGAAGTTTCAAGTCTCTAGCTCATTAGTTAAAATTTGATTGCTAGATTTAATTACACAGAGGTGAAACATAATTAAAGCTTGTAAAAGGAACCGAATTTTGGAAAGAAAAATCATGGGTTTTCTATCGAAGGTTTCTAGGCCAGTACAACATCCCAGTGTCGAACCATATACCTTATTCGCCAGATCTTGCGCCGTGCGATAACTTTCTGCTTACGGTCGTTCACGATTTCATCTGATTGTATGAAATCGAAACTATTTTGTAGACTCATTTGTTTGCCTTCGCGAATTATGGGTACTGAGTGGGTAGAAGGTAAGTACAGCTTTTAACTGACATGAGATTGAATAGCTAACCGGTGCTAATCGTCGGATATCTCATACACATCGGTTTAGGCTGTCTATAGACGAGGAGGTGGCGGAAGATATCTGTTGTGACTGACCGGCATTGGCCGGACAAAGACTAATACAATACAATTGGTCCATAGTCGAATGCCTTACAATTAGAAATTTGTTTATTGTTAGCTTTCATTGAGGATACTATGGGTATCTTGGGCTATCAGGGTTAGGACTTTATCATCAGTTCCAGGACCCCGTGCTCTGATACAAACAATTTTTTAGTATAAAGCATCAGCTCTAATTGGATAACTGTGATTTAGAAATAATAGAGACGGATGCTTCGTATTAATGCGTTTTGTAAAACAACTTATCTTTTTTGATGTGGAAATCGCACATTGTCTAGCTAAATAGCTAAATAGCTAAAAAACTCAAAATCTTTTTGTTTTACTAAAGTTACATCATTTGTTCTGAAAATTCGCAGAAAATAATTTTCGATTGTCTTTGAAGCAAATCAATTAAGTATTATGTGAAAATCTTTAGTCATTAGCTACTTTAGAATCATTACGTTCTAATGATTAGAGCAATCAATTGACAAAGTAAATGTCACTTTAATTGTTCATACATTTATCTATGAATGAATGCATATACATACGTACATATGTTCATATATACATTAGACCGAAGCACCATACAAGCAAACAAAATCGCCGTACATCCCTTAGTCGAAAGTATTTTTCCAAGACAATTAAGAAAAGGGGTTTTGAGGAGTCTTTTTACGTTTTTCAGTAACACAAACCTTCGGCAATAATTTTTTTTTAATAGTTCTACTGGAATAAGCAAAAATTGACTGATTTTTGCAGAGATTTAATTTACTGACATTAGGGTGGTAGGAACGCAGATCTGGTAGGTAAGTAGCAGAGCGTGGCACTTGAGGTAAATAAACTTGAGAACAAAAAAAATTGCATCCTCGAGGCAAGAATGGCGATGTATCATGCTTTCGGAAAAAAAAACGAAATTACCTTGCAAAAATACTTTAGACTCGGGTGTGCTTCGATTTTTTTTTCTGGTACGGTCTAATGTACATACATAGGAGCATGTGTAAATAAACATATATATTTTTATTAATTTTAGTTTGCACGCAACTTTTATTTTATTTTTTTTAACTTAAGTTTTTAACAATTGTTTAAAATTGTCACATGATTCCAGTATATAAATGTACAGCAAGTTGCTTGAAAAGTCAATATCCGAACAGTTGGACATAAGACAGAGTCCTCGTAGTTACAAAATTTAAAAAAATTGTTTAAATTCGTAAAAAATATGAAATCCTATTTCATTTGTTTGGTTGTATGTGCGGTGTTCACATCTTACGTTGAGGTATGAGGAAGTGATAAGCATCAAGGATTCAGTGTTTTAAATGAGCTAGATGCTTATGTTGCTTATGTATCGGTTTTTCATTGTAAATTTTTGGCTCAGTGGAAGGACAGTGCATGAAAACGGTAAACACAGTAAAGAAAGAGGAAAAAATAAAGTTTAAGATTACCCAATGGAACTTATACTCATTGCCATGACATATGACATACATATCTTTTTTTAGCAATTTGTGCAACTAGACCGATTAAAGGCCTGCTTGAACACGTCAAGTCTTGCTTTCAAGTCTGCTCGGTTCCTAGGCGAAGGAGGTGAGAAGAGAGGGGAAAAGTACATTCGTCTCACCTCCTTCGCTTACGAGCGAGCAGACTTGAAACCAAGACTGGACATGTCTGAAAGGGGTCATAACATATCGCCTGCCTGATAACTACAGTGTCTTTCAGGCAGAGATATTTGCCATAGAGAAGGCGGCTTGTCTCTTACGCGATAGTAAGTCTCTGTCAGGGAACGTCACGACGGCATTGAAAATATTATGCTCCAGTGTGGTAAACTCGAAAGCAATTCGGAAATTTCGTGCAACGCTGGCTTCACTGAGTCACCTAGAAACCTCTCTCTGCTGGGTTCCTGGACATAGCAATATAGAAAAGAACTAAATAGCCGATGAGATGGCTAGACACGGCTTGAAAATGCAAATTAGAGAAGCGGATAACTCCCTGGTGCCACCGATTTCTTTTCTGCTAAGGGGGATTGAAGATTACACCGCAGCCGTAACCAATGACCTTTGGATCAATCGGGACGAGTGCGAGGTCTCAAGATCCTTGTGTTCGAGACTTAATAAGACTCGTACTGTAGAACTACTGACACTAAACAAATCAGCAGTAAGTAGCACCAATGCTAAAATGGCTTATATCAACAAGCTCACTCTGCAGAAGTTGTCAGGATGAGGATGAAGAGGAATTGAATCACCACCTCTTGCCAATCCCCAGCTCTCCAGACAATGCATGTTGGAAAACGTGAAGGAACGTTGACAATGTCGGAAATGTTGTTAAACACGGTGTAAATTTTGTGGCGAACCGTGGAAAAGTGTAAAAGAAGAAAGCAAATCTTACTAGTTGTGCGGTCAAGCATGTGTATTCTGGTATGTTTAGTAGGTTGCGTGACTCGAGCTGGTCAAGCAAGTCTGGCAGGCGTGCACTACTCCAGTCTGCTTAGTGAGGTATGGCCCTTCGGGGAGTATCGCGAGGGCTGTGGTTTAATACCTAAATGCGGGTAGAACTCGCATGGGTTCAATGTGGAGTTGCATTGCAACCGGGTGCCGGGACCCAAAGAACGGCAGAGATTTAGGTAGGTTTCGGCTTTACCAAGGTGGTAAGTGTGTCGGTCCCACACTGCCTTTGGTGCTGAAGTGCTTGCATTTCAGGGCAATGATTAAGGCATGAATTAATCCATGAGCTTAACGGGCTCTGTGGAGTTTAGACCGTATACTACGGCAGGTACCCACAATAAACCTGAACTACATCTCCAGACAAGGCGTCTGAAGCATTTGGGATCACGCTTTTTCAATAGCTTGGGGGAGATAGCGGAGGTGAAAATATCGAACATACATTCGTACACGCCTTCTTAACCTAACCTAAACATGTTCAGTGTTTAATACCATAACGGTTCTTTGGAGCACTCAAGAACCATTGTTTAGAAATTGCGGCACGCTGCAGCACAGTAATATGGTGCAATGCACATTCAGCCGTTCGGTACATTCAAAAATGTCTAGGAGTTATAACGTGCGGTATGGTGAAGTGAAATCATCGATGAATAGCCAGATAAAAAATATCTGTAAATTTTGTTCAAATAATTGAAATGAAATCTGTAAATATTATTACCAACACGTAATGCAATAAATCTATAACTCAGGATCTCATAAGGAGTTTCTTGCATCTCTCCAAAAGATATCCTTCAGTTCATGTTTTAGGACAAATCTAAAGAAGCTCTGTAATTTACTTCACTCGCACTTAATCCGGGGGAATCCATCCTCATAGGCGAAAAAGGACATCAAACGGGCTTGCCAAAATTACCATTTGTATGATAACATAAACGCAAATCCTTCCGCCCAATTTGACTATCAAAACAAATATTTTATGCTTCACCTCTTATTCATGGCGTAATAAGAGGAGAAGCATAAAATATTTGTATTGATAGTGAAATTGGGTGGAAGAATTTGCTAAATGGGCAAGACCATGAAGTAAGCCATTGAAATTTTCGATTCTATGATTTTCTGCGGAAGAGTTTTTCTATTTTTTTATAAAGAATTACTATATTCCACATGTATGTATTAAAGTAAGACTAACCCAATAAATGCTGTATATCTCCTTTCTTTTTTCCAAACTAGTGCGATTTGGAGAAGTTCAAAGCCGTAGCTGAAGAATGCAAGGAAGAAGTTGGCGCCACAGACGGTAAACAAATATTTACATATGTCGCGTTTAAAAGATATAGGCATTATAAATAACCAATGATTGCAGAGGACGTTGAAACTATGATCAATCATGAGCCAGCTGGTACACCGGAGGCAAAATGCTTACACGCATGCGCCATGAAAAAATTCGGCTTGGTCGGTTGAGTTCACAAGGAACGAAGATCAAAGTTCATTAATAATTTTCCTTTTCCATTTAAGATGAATGACGATGGCAAACTCGACAAGGAAAGGGCCATAGAAATTTTGAAAATTATAAAAAGCGATGATGAGGAGCAACAGAACTTGGGCGTGGAAATTGTGGATGCTTGTGCGGATATCGACGTAAATGAAGATCAGTAAGTAGTGATATAAAAAATCCGTTTAACTTTTAAGCAAACATTCAAAATTTTTGCAGTTGTGAGGCGGCTGAGGAATATCGCACTTGCATGCACGCGAAAGCTGCTGAAAATGGTTTTACCTTGGGACGCGTTTGAATTTTTTAAATAAATTACTGAACCCTCTTCAAAATACTTGACGACGACCTTGGCTTTAAAATTATTTTTAATTAAGTAAAAAGCATTTTGTAAATTTGGCTGTTCCTCTGTACTCTCT